GATTATGTGATGTACACTGCAACAGTGGGAGGAAGAGGTTCCTGGCAAAACAACACTAACCAGTCGTTATTGCTTCCCTGTTTTTCTTGTTAGCCCATTGATGTCCACTAAACATGCAGTATGCATTCCCCTCCCTTCACAGTTAACCTCTACTTTTCTCCCATGACCCAGAAACCAATATTCATACCAGTACTGTATGTTGCCTTCTGTTACAGTAGTGGAGGAGCTAAGAGAAGCTATTTTAAAACCTCCCACAGTGGAGGATGTTCACGTGTATCACCTCCAGGAAATACGCTAACAGTATGGTCAGTATAAACACATCAAATGATCGAGTTAGACTTAATTCATAGGTAGAAAGATACTCAATAGTAGTAGTAATAGTAATTAACACTGCAAAAGTGGATGTAAATGTACTGCACGTGTGTGTGCATGTAGGCGTGAGCTCAAGGGAGCATGCATGTGTGGTCATGGCTCTAATGGGTGAAAGAGGATGAGAGGAGGCAGGAGAAAGAGAGGGATATATACTTTACAGAGAGAGAGAGATAGAGAGCACAAAATAACTTCAGGCAGCCTGGTGGGTAATGAAACAAACGTTTGAAGTTTCAGAGGGTTGTACATGTTTTTTATATGACTGTATACTCACTGTAACTGAGGAGACTGAAACAAACAGAGATTACATTTATCAGCATGTACAGTCTACCACTGCTACTACCACCGCTATTACTGCTGTGACCAAACATGAGAAGTAAAGCCAAATTAATCTTGGCAAAGTTTTGAAAGGGATTCTGGGTGATTTGAGTAGATGAAAGAGCGTGCTATGTGTGCTTTACCACAAATGGACAGCATATTCTGTTTAACAAAAATGGAGTTGATGGCTCATGGGGTGATAAATTAGTACAAATCTTCCTTTTTAGCAAAGTTTTTATGAAGAATATCAGGGTAAGTGGCTGTCAAAGCTATACTGCCACACGGGAGAGAAATAAAACTACCACAAAGTCAAAAACACAACTCTTTTAAAGGTCCACTGTGTAACATTTAAGAGGATCTATAACTATGTTTTCATCAGTGTAAGATCACCTGAAAATAACAATAAGTTGCAATATGCAACTATACAGGTAGATGCCACTAAATCTTTCACACTGGACCTTTAAACCGCTGGACAGATTTTGTCTGATGATATGATTTTGTCAGTTTTCTACAGACTAATTGAAAACGATGTCTCCAGTTAAGCCTCTTATTAATTAACACCAAGGAATTTGGCTGTCGGGACCTGCGAAATTTAATAACCATAAATAATTACTTGAGCAGAAGGATTTATAAATGTATCCCCATTTTTATTCTTTAAAAGAAACCACTTGGAATTTTTTGGGAAATTAAAATGTTATTAAGTGGCTACACTAACTAAGATAACCCAAAAAAAAAAAGCTACATCAGCTTTTCAACTTCACTTCAGCACACACTGAATAAAACACTACAGTATATTTCGGTGGGCATTTACATGTATGAGTCATCAGCTGAGTCATGCTTTTCATATCTGCGATGCTGAAGCACAAACGTCAGTCATATCTCCCTCCTTTCGTCCCCCCACAGTACCATAAACCCACCCAGTGTACCTCACTGCTCCCCCTCTTTCTCTAGTCACTTCTTAGTAGACGGGTGTTTAAAAGAGGAGTGTCTGTGAACATTTTTTAGGGTCACACTCCCTGTGGTGGTGTGTTTGGGGGGAATTGCTGTAGAAGGATGGGCTGCAGCAAATGTGCAAGATTTGACCACAATACATTTTTAGCCAGCCCAAAGATTGATTTGAGTTTATTAAATTTTGGCCCATTGCATCTCTATGCGGGCCAGCTGTGCAAATCAAACGCAAACCATCCTCTCAGGGTGCCAAATGCTACGGTTCCTCCCTGCTGCGCAAGCAAACAGCTTTTTCTGTTCTCTCAGGTACCATTCACTTTACAGCCTGAATAAAAGTGCGTTGCATAACGCTCTCTTTGGTCATTGGTGGGGTTGAGGGGGGTCAGGGGGAGTAGTTGACTCACCGCAGTGCTTTATAAAAGTATGAAGAGGCGATGACTGCGGTTTTTGTTTGTACATTTTTCCAGGCACAACTTCTCCATGCTGTATTTCAAATATAATGTTGGACTCTTTGACACTATTTGATAAAAGTGATAAATGACATAAATCTGTAGATAAAATACATAATCTGTAGTTTATAAATACTATAAACTAAAGATTAAACTGTATTACAGTTGATTGGTTATCTGTAAAGGTACTGACAATGCATACAACAGATAAATATTCAAGATATTAACTTAACTTAGAAAAAGTTCTAATTGGTACCCCTGACAATTCATGATTGCAAAATTATTTTTTTCGTGAATAACATTTATCATTAAAGTTGTCATCAGGGCTGTAGCTTCCACTGAGGACACAGAGGTCACGTCCAAATATTTCTGGGAATGTGTGGGGTTTTAATTATCGAGTTTGCACTCTACAGCAACGAAGAAATTCCACGTCTGGTTTTGAGGGCTGAATCTAGTATTTGAAAAAAAAATTTTTTTAAATTAAAACAAAATGATTATTGATTTGGTTAATTAATGAATTTGGTTCAAT